CATTATCATGTTAATGAAACCAATCAAGAAAACAAATTCATCAGCATTGATATAGGTACATATTTTTGGTTAGTGAAACATAAAGAATAGGAAACTACCTCTAGGGTTTACTGTTATAGATTCTCTCTTTACTATCTACATAGATTGTATATATATACAATGCATGTTGGGCTATATTATTTTAACCTTTTTTTCCTTGGAGCAACAGACAGTAGATACCTGGTTAAAATCTACTCCAAACAATTTTATTTTTCCGCCCGTTGGAATTTATTATAGTAATTAATAAAAGGAATATATGTATTGCCTGTACAAACCTATTTCAAATTTTATTCCCAGGTTATTCTCTAGAGTAACTGTTAAGGTTGTTCCACTCGATACAAAGTATAGATTAAACACTACAATTACGTGTCAAATTAAATGTTATGAAATTTAAAACAAAAGTTTTGAATAAATTTTCAACATATGTTTTGAAATAAAAACAAAACAGGAGTTTTCTAACTAATCTTGCATCGTTGATTATTTAGTCAACGGGGCTATTTCATGTTAAACATTCCTTCAGCACAACAATAACCTACAAATGTGAAGAAATGTAATCAAAGTAAAATAATTTTGTAAACTTCGTGAACATATGTTTAAAAAAACCAAAGCTTAATTAAATGTTTCAGCCATTCTACTTCCATTTACTTTGATTTTAACCATCTCCCACGATTCTACTAAATTTCATGCGCTTGGCTAATTTACATACAAATACACAAATTGAAATGAAGTTCGAATCATGTAAAAACAGTTCTTTTAGTTCGTCATTTGCTTGTGGTTGTGGCATGTCCATTGTGGCAACATGCGTTGAAATGTCCATTTGTGGCCTCCTCTGCAAAATAAAATGCGCCACAATGCATGCAAGTGCTTTAAGAGGACCTATATTGTGAGAAACAACAATCAACTAATTTTCCAGCGTTTTTCTAAAACGGCTTCTGGATTTCTTTCACAATTAGGCCCTACATGACGTTCTCTTTTGCATTTCTTAAGTCTGTTGAATTCCTGGACACTCTTCCACGTCTTGCAGGTCTTCCCCTACCCTGTCTAGTTACTTCACTCATTATAAAAACGGAAAACAAAAAAATTAAACACAATCCTTTTTTAAACATTATTTACCAACATTGTCTTTCGGAATAAATTGCAAATAAATAAGTAACAGCTGATAGAATGCAGACGTTTTTCAGTCCCCATGCATTTCTTATGGTGGATATTTTACGTTATATCTCGTTTTCTGGTAGCTTTATGGGAATTCTGCTATTTTTCCCGAGTCCCTGGGGTCAATACCTTTAATTTAAGACCCCTCCCACTTTTCTGCGACTTACCAGACGTCCACAATTTTCTGGTAAAAATTAGGTCTTACAGAATTATATATATAGATAGATAGATATTTAATTTCCACAAAATCAGTTAATGTAACCAATGCGTTTCGTTGAATTGAAAAACAAAGAACACAATTAAATTAAACAGCTGATGTAAACAATATTATGTTCTTCGTAAGGATAACATGGGAACTTAAAATGCCACTGTGGCAGAGGCCAAGGGACTTTTTCAAAAATTGTAGGCCAGTTAGCAAATCTACGCAACACGCTCTTTCCAATGAGACGTCAGTGGATAAAATCGGTTAAGAAATGGTGGAGGATTCAACCGACAAACTTCGTGTTCGCGTATTAATTATATAGATTTCATATGTGCATGAAATGTTGGTGTGAAACCAACTTGTATAACTTTAAGCTAAATGGTTTAAGTTACCTGGCTTCGTCAAGTGATCCTTCATCAGTATTACACTACTATAGTTTCGGACTTGAAAATAAGTCCATCTTCAGAAAACGTCAATAGGTCATCTAACCAAATTGGTTAGATGACCTATTGACGTTTTTGTTAACCTGAAGATGGTCCTCCAGAGGCTACCTCACCATGTATACCTTTGAAGTAGAGGCTATATTTATTCCCAAAAGGTATCAAACGCCAGCTCCTGATCAAATCTTTTCTATCACTTTAAAGTTTGTTTCGTGTTTTTAGTCTTCACGTACAGAGACTTAAATCTTGGTATTAAATTGATAGCAATCATAAATCGTGGACAGAATCTTCCACAAAAGATAAATACAATATAGTTTAACACCCTAGAACTCCTTAAAAAAATATGTTTTGTTAAGGCTTTGTCATAATGTTAAAAATACTCAATACAACAAATTCATTAATTTTACATATGTAAACGTTGATAGTTGTGTGCGTATACATCTAGTCCTCTATATTTTCTATGTACACAAATGCTTCTGTATACACTTTTTTTGCAACTCACAGTAACTGACAAATATTCTAAACTGGTGAACTGTTTTTATAAATTTTTGCCATTATTTCTCAACCCGTGCTTAAAAAATTAGTGACTCGTGGATAAATCCAGATACAGAATTTAATCTAAATCGGACCACAGGTTTTGTCTGTTGCTCTGTATCTGGATCATACAAGTGTGTATTATATAACCTGATATTAGTCAAAATATGTTTAATTCTATAACGTTTAATTTAATTAAACATAAAAGTCATGCTCCCTCCATTTTTAAAGTATTCAGTCCAAAAATGTAATAAATTTACTTGTGCATACATATTTATTTCGTTTTAATAAATAATTGAGGTGATGCAATACACTTATGTAGGCAGTCGCAGCAGTCGAATCCGGGCAGAGCGCCTAAAGTTTCACGAACGCAAACCGCGCAACGAGTAGCTAAATGAGCCGTAGAGTAAGTGAGCCATCTAATATTTTGAAGAGGGTTCACTTACTCTACGGATCATAGTGCCAATGAACTGTAGAGTAAGTGAGCCATCTAATATTTTTCTGCAGGCTCGTATAGTATACGAGCCTATTCCTATAATTTATATTATTCATTATTTTGGCTCGTATACTATACGAGCCGATTCCTGAATTATCAAATAATTCGTAAGCTTGGCTCATAGTCACTATGATCTGTAGAGTAAGCGAACCTTCCTACTGTATTTTTAAATATAATACACGAGGCTCATAGGCACAATGATTCGTAGAGTAAGTGAACCCTCTTCATTTATTTTTTATTTTCGATAGGCTCGTATAGTATACGAGCCTGTAGTGCAAGTGAACCTTCAATATTATTTAAAAAGCTCGTATAGTCTATGATCTGTAGAGTAAGTGAGCTGTCCCCAACTGGTACAACCATACTTTGCAACGCTGCCACTTCGAAGGCCGCGGCCTGGAGATAAAGGCGGCCGTGGCTGATGCTGAATTGTTGTGATTTGATTGAACTAAACTAAAGGATTGGCTTCGTAAACATTTTGGAATGAAATTATGAGTCTATTCATGCACACGAAAATACATGTAATGCCATTTTAGTACCACTGTACTGTTTGAAAACAGAAATTTTAAATTTCGGCTAAATTTAGCAACAAAGTATAACTGATTATACATCTACCAAGAAGGATTATGTATCTCTTGGGGGAGTGTGTATAATCAATAGCACAAGATGCCATGTTAGCCATACAACAATGCTTTAATTTGCTAAACTATTTCTTTCAAAGTCCTACCATAATGGCTTGGAAAGAAATTGTGAAATTTTAGGTTTTAGGGAAATGAGAAACCCCAATTTTTACCCGATAAAACCCCCATAAGCCCCCGTTCCCATGTTTCGATCATGCTGGTTCGAGAAATCGTTTGAATAAACGTACCTAGGTTTACATGTGTTTGTATAAAAAATGTGGATAATTTTTGTTTGGAGTTATTGTGCGAACGGACACACACTCATACTGTATTTTCCTTCCAATGTGCACTCATACATTATATATATAGATATTATATATAAAAATGGAAAAGTAAATCGGTCCCGAGTCCAGGTCCTACCCCTGAAACCTACTGTAACAGCTTGTTCCCTATGGAAAATTTGCTAAGAGTTAATTGATAATTTGATAACAGGTATTAGGTAATTTGATAAGAGGTGCAATTATTGATGTGTAAGGAACACAGCTATTGTTTTGTAACCTGTAGTTCTTGAGTACGTTTGATGTTCGTGTCGCCGTTACCCTGTGCATTTCACCAGCTTGTGTGAAAAATATATATGAACACAAACGATACATTTTAAGTTCCATTATCTAGCTCAGTGATCGAAACATGACCCCGCTGTCTACATTGTCTTTATTGTTCTAGTCAAAATCAGGGGCGTAACTAGAACAGGGTTTAAGGGGGAGGGGGGTGGATGAGCTCAACGTCTGCACTCATGCAGGGGTCTGGGGGTGGGGGGTATGCAATCGCAATACCCTCCAGTAAAGAGGGAGGTCTGGAATAATTAGAACTCCAAACTCGTTTTTTCAGGCATTCCAGAGGTGTAATCACGTTCAAAAGAACTAAAAAAAATCAACCCAATTTAGGCTGTCTGCTGTCTCTGGCCGGTCAGATTCAGGAAATAGTATTTCTTGATTAAGAAGTGCCACTATCGATAAACCAAACGTAAACACACGGGATTGTTTTTTACCAGGCGTCTGCGTTATTCGCAATTTATTACAGTTTCTCCAAGTTTTAGAATTGGCTGACTACCCTCCCGACAGCCCTGACACCAAACAGGATTATAATACACAATACACAGCATTTGATACAAGTCTACTAATATCAATATTGATATTAGTAGAATTTGTTTAGTAGACTTGTAATGTTTTATGTTCTAATCCTCATCTATGTTTTATCATAGATAAAACATACTCCCTTAGGTTTTATCTATATGGTGCATCGTAGGTAGAGGAAAGAAATAATATGTTTCATTACTGTACTTAACCAGAGATTATACTAACTTGAAATTTCCAAAGGTCAATTTAAGTCGAATCTTCATCTTATTCACGTGACGTGTAAGACACATACCCGACAACACAGACCAATCCGAATCGTTTGATTGGTTAATTCAAAACGTCGTGCTAATGTGGCTTTCTATACGCTACGTCATCCAACGTATGTCAAAAAATCGTCTGCATCTGGTCGGCTCTGTGCTTTGCTTGCTAGTGCTAATTTGTCATCTTATTTTCATTTTAATCAGTGTTGAGTGTTATAGAAGAAGCAAGAAGTAGGTTATAGGTCGTTAGTAATATATTTAATAGACCAGAGAAAATTATTTGTTACTCGCTTTTACATTGTGTTAAACTACGACGAAAAACTTTAACTACATCTTTGCAACGTTGCAAGCTAACCTACTTGATTCAGTTCGTATTGTTTAGACATTTTATTTCTTTGTGCCTAAAAAATGGAAAGCCTAGTAATGAAATCTGTTCTCGCTGTTGTCATTTCTTGTTTGATTGTTAATTGTAATGCTAACACCTGTGTTCAACCAGAGGTTACTGCATCCCAGTACACTACCAAGGATGCGACTGTTTTAACCAACATTGCATATGTAGCTGAATTTACTTTGAAGTGTGCCAATGGAGCTAAGGGGATCCCTCTCTATGCAGAAGTTGCTGGGAAAACGTTGCCTGCAGCTAGGATTGGAGATAGCAACAATTATCAGGTTAGTTGGACGGAAGATGTGAAGAAAGCAAAGAGCGGGGACTACAGTGTCAATCTTTACGACGAAGAAGGATATGGTGCCTTAAGGAAAGCCTTGAGAAGCGGAGAAGACACTTCAGCCGTCAAACCCTTGGTAACAATTGTCGTCAACTATCCCGGCGCTTACCAAGGACCGTGGGTAAATTCCGAGTTCATGGCTGCTGTTCTTTCAGGTTTAGTTTGGTATTTAGCTTTTTCAGCAAAATCAAATCTTCTCGCATAAGTGGTCACATTAGTGAAATTTGAAACTGAGGCATATTGTCCTAAAGAGACATTTTAAAGACTTAACTTAGCCTACTCATGTTATGTTCATTCAATCATTTCTCATTTCCCATCATTTTTAATTGAATTTAATCTAAATTAGGTTTATGATTGTTGAAGTTGGATTTGTTCTTATTTATTTTTTAATATTTCTTAATTAATTAGCCTTACATTAATTATTGTAAGCTCCAAGCCTTGAATCGTAAAAGATGTAAATAAAATGGGTTTTGTAACTAGCCTCCTGCTTATTTCCCGATGCTCTACAATCAAACTTAGATTAACTCAGGTTGGGACACTGCTCTATTTTTTTATGATGCAAGTTATTCGAGGCCTAAGCCTATTGAAGAACATATTAAAGTTAGATAGAAAACTATTAGTTAACCAATTTTGAATTAAGAAGACTTTCTTAGCTACGGTAACATATTTTGACCTCTACTGCATATTTTGGGTTAGCCTACCCAAACATTACCTAGATAACTTCTTGATTAAAATTTTCTGTGCTGGTGCTACTATGAATATAAATAAATAAACAGGTTTGGGAAGTAGTGTGCTATAAATAGCAACGCTACAGTTTAGTAAACGTTTTTTAGCAATAGAGTAGCTGTAGCCAGTTAAGTTACATTTGTTTGTAGTTGTAACTTAGCAAAATTTCAGCTTCTTTTGTACTGAATTGTACAATGAATACAATGAATTGATTTGGCCAATCAACAACATTGTTACAGGCTATGTCAGTGTACAAGCATAATGTACAAGCATAAAATAAAAATCAAGAGTTAAAAATCAAACCAAGCAAAAATCGATCAAAACCAACCATGTTAAAAAAAATATGTTCAAGACCATGCACAAAATGATACAAAGCAAACAAATGCAGTTCATGCAAAATGCATGCACTATGCAAAAACAGGCTGTTTAGAGGAAAACTTACTTAACTAACTACAGTTTCAAAAAACTCTTTAAATTTGAAAAAAGGATTTTCAATCAGCCAGTGTAATATTGCGGTTTGGAAGTTCTTTCTTTCCAGATTTCTCACATGACCAGGAAGGTGATTGAACAGTTTTATTCCTGAAACAGGGTATGACCTAGCTCTTTTATCAGTTCTAGACCTAGGAATGACAAGCTTAGCACTAAACCTAGTGTCATGATTGTGCACTGAACTGGTTACATGTAAATCATTCATGATGTTCTTAATACTAACAAGGCATTGGAATATATACATATTTACAACTGTCAGAATACTTTGTCTCTTAAACAAGGGCTTACTGTGTTCTTTATAGTGAGCATGACAGAGAATCCTTACTGCCTTCTTTTGCAGTCGCAGGATCTTTTCGACATTGGGTGAGTTGCCCAACAAAATTAACGCATAGTATATGTGAGGTTGGAAAAATGCAAAGAAGGACATTCTAAGGGTACTCTGTGGCAGTTGGTCACTTAGACGTCTTAAAAGATGCACTACTCTGATTAGTTTAGTACAGACTTGGCTTATGTGGTCTTTCCAATTGAGACAGGGGTCAAGGGTTATACCAAGGAGTTTGACAGGCTCTTGGAAAGGAACAATCTGGGAATCACATAGGCTAAATGTTATGTACTGTGTTTTCTCATTATTGAGCACTAATTTATTGTCAACAAATCAATTTGAGGGTAACTCAAAAATCTTCTTAACAGACAGCTCTGCTTGTTCACGGGTCGCTTTACATGATATAAGGGAAGTATCATCTGCATACAACATGCAATTACCTTCAAGTCTGGTATAGAGGTCATTGATTGTTATTAAGAATAACAGAGGTCCCATAATGGAACCTTGTGGAACCCCGTGTCTTACAGCTAATGGTTTGGATGTAATACCATTCCAACTTACAACCTGTTGGCGATCACTGAGGTAGGATTTGACCAATCTCAGAGCACTGCCTTCTAGGCCATATTTTCCCAATTTCAGGAGCAAAATTTCATGTGACACGTAATCGAAAGCGCGAGAGTGGTCACAAAGTATTACGGAGGTAGATTTCTTAGACTCAAAAGCATCAACAATTAATTGTACAATAGAATCAACAGCCAATATAGTGGATTTGGCTTTCCTGAAGCCAAATTGACCAGGCACTAGAAGGTTGTGTGCTTCAAGGTGGTCGTACAATTGAGCAAACATAATAGCTTCAAACAGTTTAGAAAATACAGGAATCAACGATATTGGTCGATAACTTGCAACATTGTCACGGGACCCTTTTTTATAGACAGGCACAGTTCTAGAGACTTTTAATGGAGCAGGAAAAATACCTACTAAAAAGCATACATTAACCAAATGGGCTAGTATAGGTGCCAGTGCCCACACAATGTGCACCTATACTAGTAAACTACTAGTATACTGTACCTGTACTAAGTAAAAGAGTGATTTTATCACCTTACTATTAACAACCTCTTTCATTCTGAAATTTCCAAGAAAAATAGGCCCAACTAACTACTTTCTTGGCTTCTTACAGCTAGTCGCAGCTCACAGCCGCTTTATTAACTGTTATAGTGTTGCTTGGAAATGGAGGCCTGAGAATATTGATTGTCTTGACGTTTCATTCATTTTTGGCTCTCATTCTTTATTTGCTTCTCTATGGACACTGGTCAGACCACGTAATTGTTAGAGCTGACAACGCTTTAATAAAGCGGTTGTGCTTCCTTTCACGAACAGCTTGGCCTTCCGGCTCTCGCCGGCCGGCCGATCGTTACGTGTATGGGGGGCCTAACATGGCGGTGGCGGGTTGGGTAAAATCTTGTACGTTACGCATGAGCGTTTTTACATATCGCAAGTGAATGTTAAATAGGTATTACCATTACGATCCATACCCTTTCTGTTCTAATGTCCGTGCAGTATTTAATATGTATGAACGAGCTGTGTGGAAATGTGAAATCAAAATTCATTTGACAGTTGTGTCACGTGCTTGTTTACATTTAAACTTTGTCAGAAACTTGTTTACCAAGGACACAAAAAAAATATTTACATCTAAATCTTCCACCTCAGAACTTTAAAAGCCCGCGGGGCAGATTCCTAGGTCAATATGGAAGGGGAATATTTCTATATGTATCCTCAGAGCGGTAGCATTATGTTTTGCCCAATTTGAGCCCAGTCGGTTCAGTAGTTTTTGAGTTTAGCTCATACAAATACACAGACACCACATCTTCTTTATAATCCTTATAGTAGAACCTTGATAACAAGACTCTCATGGGGATTATCAATAATACTTGTTATCAAGGTTGACTTTTTATCGAGGTTTAATAACATGTAATTAAAGGGTAAAATAAATTCTAGGGAGTTTAAAAATGACACTGGTTATCAAGGGTGACTTGTTATCGAGGGTCTTGTTATCAAGGTTCCACTATAATACGTGAAGGTGATTTCTACTAAACACTACTCCTCCATTAATAATGGACGGATTTTTACAAAATTAAGACTGCTCTTTGACCAATTCCGGTAAAAAAGTCCTCGGGCTTCGCCCCACAGGCCATCAAAATCCCAATGTATTTCTTAGGAAGAAAAGATTTTTCCTACAGTCAACCGACAATGGCTTCCTTGTAGTATAATTTCAAAAACTCTTAAAATGAATGAAAACCATCTTTGCATAATTTATAATATTTTTACCATTAAAAATCATCACACTTTTCTATAATTTAAATTACCTATTTTGCCTGAAGGTCTTGTAGTAAAACTTGTCGTTACTCTATGCAAAATAGTGTTGACAGTGGTCAATCACTAGCTCATGTTCTTCAAGTTATTTTGTATCATTATTTATATATCATTTGCTTATCATCCAACTTGAACAGATTGTAAATTAAATAAAGTTTAAAAAAAAATACTAGTGGCTTATAGGGACATAAGTCCCTAAAAAGCTCGAATGTAAAACAACTTATTGCAATTCCGGTATTTAAACAAACTCAGAATAACATTATCTATGTGTCAGGATAGGTATCCCTATTTACACAAAAAAAGTTTGCTGTCTGTTTTTGTTTGCTTTACCTATTTGTTGATGTTATTTTCAATAAATAATTTGAATCACTCCAGAGGTTTAACATGAAAAGGCAGCAAACATAGGTATCATTGTTTGTGAATAAATACTGGTTTACTAAGGTAGCTTTGGTCTTGTGGTTAATGAGGATAAATAAAAGCTTCCCTGATTGGAATTTTTCAATTTTATAAATTGTCTTCATCAAATAAATATGAAAGGCAAATATAGGTTTTGAGATAAGCTCATCTCTTGGTCAAAACCGCTAAATTATCCCAGTTATTATTTCTAAGTTTATACTCCTTTAATGTGAAGGTTTAACAAAATTAGTGTAAAGTTAAGGCATCCCATTGACCAAACTTAACCCTAGATTTGTTTCTGATCAACATATAAAAAAAATCTACTATAAGTTTACTTGGTGGTATTCCACCTAAAGGTGCGATTGACTTTACATATGCTATCAAAATAGGCCTAATCATCGACTGATTCCTATTTATTTTGCGACTGGGTTCCATTACCCAGTTAACGAAACCAATCACGAAATTTCTTTTCATCAGCATCTTCGACATCCATATTTTTGGTAAGTTTTAAGAAATGGAACCTACCTCTAGGCCTTTTACTATTATATATGGATGCTCCCTTTACCACCGTGCGTGCTAGGCTATATTATTTGAACCTTTTTTGCTTGGAGCAACAGGCAGTAAATGGTTAAAATATCCTCCAAACAATATTGTTTTTCCGCCCATTGGAACTTAATGAACAAATATATTGCCTGTCTATTTAATCTTTATTCCCTTTATTATATTCTTTATTATATTAGAAGAAAATAACTTGTTATTTTTTCAGCCATTCTAAGCTCAATTCCGTCTGCTATGATTCTACTACTTATCATACGGATAACTAATTTACTTAAAGATCAAAATACACGAATTTGCAAATTGCACAATAAAATAATGTATTTAAACATTCTAAGACGTAACAAAAAAGCCTTAATTATTATAGGAAACGTTATCCCTGGTTTTATATAGTATACAGTACATTGCAGAATTGACTGGCAAATGAGTAATCCAAATGTAATATTGCTTACTTGCTTAGTGATAAATCACGATCAGCTGTATTGAAGTAAACAAAAATCAGCAGTAAATGGCTTCTAATGCTATTCTTATGGAGAACATTTTACGTTATATCTAATTTTGTGTTAAAATTTGGGGAATTTCACTATTTTTCCCGCCGTCACGGGGTCGAGACCTTTAATTTGAGCCCTCTCCCGTCGTTCTACGACTTCCCAGTCGCCCACAATTTTGACGCAAAGTATCGGCTTACGTAATTAATATATAGATATTCAAATAAACATTTTAACCAAAGATATATTGGTAGCAGTGCTCGATTTGCTGGAGAACGCGGTGGAACGGAGATTTGGTACCTCTCTTTCCGGAAGATAAAAATATTGGCATAAATAGGTACAAATCACATTAAATAGGTTACAGTTCTGGCACCTAATTTTTTACAAATCGGGCACTTTTGGTAGGTATAAAGGTAGCAAAGTAGGGTTTTGCTTTACAATATACTACAGTATACAATATACTACAATATACTCCCTCTTATCCGGACTCCTCGGGACTGTAGCCAGTCCGGATAATGAGTTTTCCAGTTAAACCGACGTCCCCAAAAACTTTTTAAAACGGACCTTTAAACGGCCACTTCCTGCCGATCTAGTCCGGTTAAACCGATACGCTGATAAAAATTTTCCGGTTAAAGAGATGTTTTTGGGGACCATTTTCGCCGAGTGTAGTCTGGTTAAACCGATGTCCGGATAAGAGGGAGTCTACTGTTACTGTAGTTTTAAAAAGCTAGCAGCAAGCAAATTTACTGTTGTGTTGTAAAAATAACACACATTTTGGTTTAGGCATATATAATATATAAAATTTGTACAAAATGAAAGAAAAATGAATTAAATGAAACTAAGGAATGAATATAATTCTTTGGGGATCATTAAACCAGATAAATGCTGCCTGAACAACGTTGGGCAGGATTCAGTCTCTTTGTGAAGTTGCTTCCTGATAACTGTCCTGCAGTAATGAGTTAAGGGATACACTTTTTGAGTAAGCAATTCTTTCCTTTTCAAAATATCAGTTAAATCAGGAAGAAGCTGTTCAGATGGTTGATAGTAGGGTGCCAAAGGTAAAAGAGCCTCAATGATTTTTACTTGATTCCCAGAAGTATTGTCCAATGCAGTAAGTAGTATCCAATGGATAACATCTTCTGGCTCCAACACATTGGAATGTTGCAGAAGCAACAACACCGCTTCAGTGTTTTGCCTCTTGATTGCTTGTTCCATGGCAAATGGCATCCTACCATGTGGTTCGTCTGGGTCTGCATTTCTGTGTAGTAAAACTTTCAAGCATTTCAAAACAATGTCTGGAGGTGAATTATCCAAGGCCACTAGTCCGGCGCAAATTGGACTAATGTAGTTAACCAGTGGGTGCTTACTGGTGACTTTTATAGGAAAACCGTGTTCAATCAGAGTGTGCAGAAAATCCAAAGTCGAGTTTCCCAACTCACACATTTTAAACTCCAACAAAAATGAAATTGGAGCGTGCAAAGTAAAACTGTTGTTAAAAGGGTATTTCTGTACTGGACACGCTAGTGCTGCAGGGTCTAAATCAGATTTTAACACTTGATTTAAAAACTCCAGGTTTCCTGTGTTAATGGCAAGACAAATCAAACTGTTCATCCTTTTTCCAGATGCCAATCCTTCAAAGTCTCTCCCCTCATCAAAAGTACAGTATTTGAGGATACACTCTTTATTGGTTTCCCTCAAAATCAAACTGAACAACCCAAAGTCACCGGTGGTGGCTGCATGGTGGAGAGCTGTATCAGTCATGCTGTCTGCAATGTTTACATCAGCTCCTTGGTCTAGGAGATACTCTACTAGAGGAACATTGCGCGAAAGAACTGCGGACATCAGTGGAGTTTGTTCATCGCGGTTCTTCAAATTTATGAGATCATTTTGTTTTGACACAGACAACAAAAAATAAGCACATTTGAAAAGACCATTATAACAAGCTAAATGAAAGGGGTGGTTACCATTTAAATCTATTACATCAGGATTGCACCCATTCTCTAGAAGACGCTTACAAATATCATAACAGATATTATCTCCACCTCTATTGAATGTGTGAGAATCAACAATTGCATGTAATGGTGTATAATTGGTATAATCTTTTGCATTGACTTCAGCCCCAAACTCAATCAATTGTTTTGCAATCAGTACATTACCATCACAGCACGCAACATGAAGTGGAGTCATGTTTCCCATCCCACCAAGATTGATATTACATTTTTTTTGTTCTAGTAGAAGTTTCACGTTCTTTACACAATTTCTCTCAGATGCCACATACAAAGGAGTTTGATCGAGAAACGTTTGGGCGTTGATATCTGCAGATTTGTGAGTCAGAAGTTCTTTCAAACATTCATTTCTGGTGTCTTCTGCAGCTGCATGGTGAACAGGTGTCCATCCATCGCCGTCTGGGAAATTGGCACTAAAGCCAAGATTTAATGCTTCCCGTACATCTTCTGGCTTGTTGTCGACAACAGCTCTGACCAAGGGAGTGAATAGAGCCCAGTCTGCGTTAAATGCCATAGCTGAAACACATAATGGATTAGTCCATAATCATAAAATCTAAGTTTGATTATTTTATTACATCTGAATCTTCTTAATATATAAAAGAAAGTTGTGTAAGTTACAGTGTTTATAACTAGAAAACTAACTAGAAAATTTACAGGGATATTCCTTAGGTACTAGAATAGAATAACATAATTGCCTGTTTCCGTTTTAAAAACCCTTAAGGGAAGCATCCTATGGCCCTTTGCAGTTTACATGTTAATCTTATGGAAGAATGTTTTATTTTGTTTACCATGTCATGTTTGTCATTTCTTGATTAAATTAAATTAAGGAAACAGCTGTTGTAATGATAACCTAATTTTTTTAAACAAATTTAATCTATGAATAACAAATGAGAGCTATCAAATAGGTTTACATTCCATTTGTTTTTTACAAATATTTGTTGTCAAATGTAACTGAAGGCAAGTAAGCGCAGAGAATGAGCTTCAACCTAAAGGTGAGTGAGCGTAGCGAACGTACTTCAACCAGGACGTGATTGAGCCATTCGAACGAGCTCATCTTGAAAATGAACGAGCATTTGACATTAAACCACATTAGGACAGGACGACGTCTGTCGGGCCAGCTAGTATATAATAAAGACTGGGACGGGTGGCGTCGTCCTGTAATGCTACTAGGAGGTCACGAATTGTATATTTATATATTTATAGGCATGCACTGTGGATGCGATACTCCCTGGTGTGGATTAACGAGTGAGTACTACGACTATCCGCAGTACTATCCTGATAATTAGACCAATTCGTATATACCAAGGCAAAAATGTGGTTCGGATTCCACTATAAACTGTAGGTCCCTTAGTTGCCATTAGCTGTATGGGCTATTAATTAACAGCTGTGTCTAAGGAATGTCGCCTTTGTCACTAACAAGACTACAAGATCGCGCCACTCATCTTCATTCTTACTTGGCTTAAAATACCTACTTTGTATGGTCGCCATTTGATAAGAAAGTATTAAAGTATATGTAAGATTGTTGCCAACCATACAGACTGAAAAATTTTTGCATTAGTATGTAGGTAAGTAAATTTCCACAAAAAAAAAAAAAAAAAAAACTTTGGTTCAAACTATTTAGCGCATTGTCTAGGTTATGGCTTTAAAAGTATCACAAAATTCATAAGTGGTTCAGAAGTGTTTTGAAAACAGGATTCAAATATTTTGTGTTTCATTTCTCCAAAAGTCATTTTTTTTCAAATCAATTATGGTCAGTAATTTTTTATTCACAACTCATTTATTTGTTTGTTATTATTTCTCATAGTTGTATACTATTTTACAGGTTGTTGTGTACTAGTTCATCACATTACCCACTTTTGTTCAAAATTGGTTTCAATCCTTATACAGGGTGTCCATAAAAAACGTTTCAGGACTTTGGGAAATGAATCCCCATACTAAAAGGAAGAAAAAAGTTTATGGGAAGGTATGTCCGAAAATGCATATTTACCCAGATATCCGCCATTTTGTTTTTTATACAAAAGTATTTTTATCTGTGAAGTTTTTTATTCGATGATTATGAAATTTGGTGAACATGTTACCATACACAAGACCTATAATAGAAAAAATAATAAAGTTGTTCCAATTGTAAATTTCAAAATGGCGGCCGTTTGAATTTTTCTAACTTAAATAACTCAAAAACGGCTAATTCTACGAAAAAATTTCAAGAATACTTTTTTTTAGCATTTTTAATTTCCTATCAAACGATACCAAGATCAAAAAGATCGAACAAAAGATAACTGAAATATAACGTTTTTTGTCTAAAAATAAGGCAAAAATTAAGGGTTCCCTGGCTAACTTTGCCTTATTTTTACAAAAACGTTATATTTCAGTTATCTCTTGTCCGATCTTTTTGATCTTGGTATCGTTTGATAGGAAATTAAAAATGCTAAAAAAAAGTATTTTTGAAATTTTTTCGTAGAAAAATATGTTATATGGTATCTCTTCCTTTGGAAGAACCTTTAAATAGTATTAAAATCGTATTGGTGGATCTTTTGTAGTTAAACACTTCCGTGATTTCATCAGTGTAATATGATTTTATTTGAAAAGAAAATATTTTTTTGGGAAGACATATTCTAACTTCAAAGGGAGGTATATCCGTTACAGTGTAAGTTTGAATTTTCCTTTGTCACGTCGCATCAGTTGCAGTTCATATCGTACTTCTGGGCCAATGAATAACCATCTATCATAGTTTTGAGAAATTGGTTGTGGAGTTACTATTAAAGCTAGAATTCATTGACATGGGGGATGTCAGTTAGTTTTCTCAGCCTTATCAATAACATAAAGTTGTCAATATAATCTCTCAACGGAATGTTAGGTGTACCGGTAGTGGAATACTTGAAGTGAAGTTGTATTTTATTCTTGAACTGTTAATGGCCTCCTAGTTTATATGGTCTTGGCGGCTTCATTGGCAACAAATAATGCAAATGACATAGCAATGGGACATTTCCAAAAAGCAAAAATACTACAAATTTGGCTGTTACATATACCTATATTGACGTTTACATATTGTTAATCAACGTATTTTATAAAGGATTATGTCATCTAATTTAAAAGGAATATGACCTTTCTGTCATGACAGTAGCTGCTAAAATAATATTTTCTCTTTGTACAATATTTTACAGCCAAAATGTTGTGTTATTTTCAATAATGTTACCAACCCAGTGCGCCAAAGTCCGTAATATAGCTTAGGCAGGTGCAAATAATTTGTCAAGATGGGTACCATTTTAGCATAGACAAAAAGAATGAAATATAGACTGTCAGCCGTGCTGCGGTTGCCATGGTTACTATAAGTTCCGGCGCACACCGCTGTAGTTTACGTAGCGCGTACGCCGTAACTACCGTGGTGCTCCAAGCGGTGTGCGCCAGAACCTATGGTAACCGCAGCACAGCTGACGGTCTATATTTCATTCTTTTTGTCTATGATTTTAGGCAAGGTTTCTATGTTTGGATTTTATTAGACACGATAAGAGCAGATATTTCTACATAAATATTTGATATGTCTAGAATAATATGATAAAATGTAGGCAAAAGTGGTGAAAAAGGCAGACACCAACCCATACAATAGATATAAGATAGTTCAATAAGAAATAATTTAAGAATTGCTGTGATAAAAGGATTTTCCTCTGATTTCGTAATGGAACGTTATATTGCAAAACATGACATGATAAAGAAGAAAATCCATTTTAAAATCTGAAAATAACATTGCAAATACTTATTTGGTAGAATTCAGTAACGCCCAATAAATATGTGTTGTTTGAAATACAATTGAAAAATGAACAGCTGTTTCATTAAAAAGTATTATTCACATAGCCAAAATGTAAACAACTCTGTGGAGGAATCTTCAAAGGCTTCTGGGGCAGAGTCCTAAGGGATTTTGCTTAGTTTTTCTTTTGATAACTCATCTACAGACCAAGACCTTTCTTTGAACACCTTTACCAAGTTTCTAGGCCCAGCCGTTCCCTCAAATTATTGGGGACAAAGTTTCCAATTAAATATTTAGATTCCCCCATGTTAATCTTATGGGAGAAACTCCAACTTTGATGGCCTGTGGGGCAAAGCCCGACAATTTTTATTACAGGAATTGGTGAAAGGGGGCGTCTACACAAAAAATACTTTATTTTGACACGTCGTTTGTAAAAATCCGTCCATTATTAACGGAGGAGTAGTGTTTTGTAGAAATCGCCTTCACGTATTATATATAAGGACTAGAGAACCCGTGCGGCTCAATGAGCCGCATAGGAACATAATGCCGAGGAAAACTTTATGCTTAAATTCCAGTAATTGTAGCTACATCTTAGAATTGTTTAAACACTTATTAGAAACTAATTTTAAATATCTCTGTTTGCGTCGTCAAGGTTCTCCTACATTATTTCTGCTCTCAGTTTTAATTGATAACTTATAATGAATGCTAAACGATCTGCTTCAATTAGAGTTAACATGTTGCAACAAAGTATTTCCAGCATTGAGAATTGAAGAAAACTGTTGCCTTAGGCCTACTGATAACCTGTGTTTAGTAGGCCTAATTTAAGTTGGGTCTTTTTATTTCTTTGATTTGAGACATCCCCCTAATCAAATTTTCTTCGTGGATACCCTGAAAAGTGAGGTGATATCAACCATTTCATGTGCTCTATTTTCTGCCAACTGGACTGTCATAATCTGCTTTGAATAGACTTAAGCACCAACAACATTGAAAGTTGGTTAACGTATTTTAACGTATTGTCTGTTAGTCTCACGTTTTTCTGTGGAGTTTCTCTAAATACCTGTTGTTGGTTAGCAATTTTCGTATTCGTTTTTATTAATTTAAATAGCAAATGTTTTATTATTTTTCCATGTCTAAATTGTACTATAACTTATTATATTTAAATACAAAAAAAAAAAAAACTTGACCGTAACAACTCGATCGTTGAATAGACCTACATAAACACTGATTCCTTCACTTATGTTTGGCCTAATATTGCCACTAAAACTTTCAATAGCAAATGAGTTATTGAAACTTCTTATTTTTTACTTGAAATGTCTGGATTGTGTTGGTAAATTCAGTCAATAAACCTTGTATAAGTTTTTCCGAGGAACTGGCAACATAACCTAGAAGTAAACAATCCATTTGCGTTTTTTCTCAATTGAAGTAGAGCGAGTAATACAAAAGTTTACAATAAAAACATAAGGTCCGACAAGATTTGGTATAATCTCACTACTTGAACTCATCATAGTCAAGGCATTAATATAGTTTATACTAAATGTTTTGAAATATTTTGTTTTGTCTGTGTCAGAAGTAAACATTTCTTGCATGCATTCATTTGATCTGACATTAGGCAAGTTTACTTTACCACCGTGACAACACTATGTGCTTCGTATATTTTTTCACTTCCAAACTGAGTTGCATAGCAGAACCATCGATGTATAGCAGAACTGGCAAATATTATTCATATCACCAAGTGAATGTGTATCTGGATGAGTGTCTGTTAGACCAGGGGCCC